TTATTGGTCCCCCAGAGCGTTGACCCCCAGGTTAGCAGAGACAGGGTTCTGAGAATCTGAGAAATGCTTCGCTGTACTAACTTGCTTGAGAAAACCCATACAGTAGATAAAGCTCCTTCCCTATTGCTTGTCCATTGTTTAGAATCACAATTTCTGGTGACATAACTTTTAGCCAATCTAGAACATGGGATGCTGTCTAAAGAAAAAGTCTCCAAGTTCCATGCAGAAATACCATATGGTTCAGAGAGCACCTTCCTAGATGAGCATGTTGGCCTTGCCAAGAAATTTCCAGCTGCAGTATGCATGGAGGTGGTAAACCTGGGGTCTTTCTTGCTATCACTTCTTGGACACAAAACATATTTGAAGCGCTCAAAACACTTGTCATCTTCCTGGAGATAGGATGGGATATGAAGGTTAAAATAAAAGTGAGATCCTTATTTCAAGAGACTGACTAAATGTCTGTCAATGAAGAAGAAGAAAATTATGTCCGTCAAATTAATTTTTTCCTCATAGTTTCTCAAGGTCATTGTTGCTATCATTATTGCAATTATTGTCATAGTCTTCCTCTTCATCTTCTTCATCTAAACAGCATTTGGTAAGAGCTTATTATGTCAGGCATTATATCAAGTGATTTATATTTATTATTTATTTTAACTCATTTTAAAAGATGAGTCAATTGTGGGTTAGAGACACTTAAATAACTTATTGAAGGCCACGGAGCTCATTTCTGGAACCCAATGTACATATGTCTACATAACTTTGAAGCCCAAATTCTAGATAATATCTAATCTTCTTAAGGCTCCTAAAAGTCAGTATCTCTTTGTGAATTTTTGTTGATTAGACTCACATCATGGGTAGAATTGGAATTTTAAATTGGACTAGGTCAAGTGTGGTTGTGAGAGTCAGGCAGATTGGAAATTGGAATATGGGCAGATAATTCATGGAGAAATGGACACATGAAGAATGTGGAATTGGAGAAGGAGATGTAGAGAATTAAGGGGGAATTTTCTTGAGGGGACAAACATCCAGAAGACTTGTATAGGTGAGTAGTTTTTTCTATACTTTTGCTTAAAAACTCATTCTTACATTCAGCTACCTTTTAAGCTTTGCAGAAACACAGATGACTGCTTTGACAGTATTTCATCCTCTGGTTCTTAAATAGAAAGTAGTCTCTACTTCAGCTTAAGAAGTGATAGAAAAATGATTATAGACTTCTTTCATCATCTCTATATTCTTTTCTAATATCTTATTCTCGCCTTGATTCAGATTGCTATATATGCTATGACAAAGTTTGTCAATCAAATCTCACCAGAATTGTGAGGGTTGTACCTTTTTATCACCACATGCATACATAAGAATATTTGTAAAAATAAAACAAGCAAGGTTTTTCAAATTTAACTTTTTGACTGATTATAATCAATCAGTGTTACCCTTCATGGAATCTGTCATCTTTGCATTATGTCATTGTTCTTCACTTATGTTTTAATAAGTCACTATAAGCAAAGTTGCTTCCCACAATACAGCCAACTAAGAAGAAATGTTTAGATACAAGGACTAGAGCATGGGTCAGTGTCCAAATAGAAAAGGCCTAGGATTAGAGAAAAGGGAGTTGGGATATTAAAGGAAAGGACATGACAGAGTAAACACTTCATCTGTTAAAGAGAGTGCACATTAGTGGAAAGGGAATTTTAGAGTTACAATACCTAAGTCAGAGTTCTTTTCTCATGGCATGAACTTGAAGTAGAGCCACATATTTACTTAGATAAAATCATGTGTGCAAGTAAAATGTAGTTTCTTTATTTTTAATAACTGATATTATTTTCTTTACAAGGATTACTTGGCTGGGCAATTGAAGAAAATTAGGCACATCTAGTACCCTTACTTCTGTATATAAAATCATACAGTTCTTTTAAGTAGATGTTCATTTTCTTTACAAAATAAATCAGGCTTTAGGATTCTGCCATCTGCCTTCTGGCCTGAGCTGCCTTTTGGATTCACAACTGGACCTGAGAATAGTTCTATCTCTGTGTTGGCCCTGGATGCTCACTGACAAGGCTTGAAGTTGGGTTTCTCTGTTTGGTCAGGGCCTGGTGATGCTCCAGTTCCAACAGTCTCATCTATGCTTTGCTTTGGGTTAAGACCAATGATGAGTCCCTTGACTTATCTCTATCATTTCCTGGTCACGGTTTTCGTTCTATAGAGTGCAATTATCTTACCCCCGTCACTGTGACCCCCATGATAACCCTACTGATGTGGTTCAGACTACATATGTACTCTGCCTGGGGGCGGGTACAGTCAGTCATGTATTCTATCTGTGTCTCACAGAGACCCAGAGTGGCCCTTCCTTTTCCTCACCATCCTGTTTCTCTTAGATGACTTTAATTATGCCACACATCAGCTCATTTGGTGGACAGCCTGTGGGGTGAGCTCATTCCAGATGTCTTTCTGTGGTGCAAGAGAAGGTCTCCTGACCTTGGCATTCTCCTCAGTGCCACCCCAGAGGCAGTAAAGAGCACCAAGAAGATCTCTGATCATCCACTCCCCTGTCCCTTTATTCCTTCATTTGTTTTTACCATTATCCTTTCTCGTTTTACCAGAATCTTCTTTAGGTAAAAATTTATGTTCTAGTAAGTTATTCAGGCCTTGACATTTGTGTGTTAAAATGACAATAAAAGGAAGAAGAAAATCCTGTCTTTCTTAGCCAACAAACAAATTTCATGACTATTTTCTTGATATAAATTGCAAGTCTCAAAAATTATTGATGTCTTCTTTGGTCCTGTTCTCTTTTTATGTACCTTATGGTAAACTTTTTGGAGTATAAAGCTTAATGAATACCTGATTTAAAGAGGCAATTTAAATGCTTTGATTTATTATGCACAAAGTATTTTCCTTTTGGACTACCAAATAGTTCTTATAGACTCTACAATCAATGTGTCTGAACAGAATAGGAGAAGTTATACAAAAGCACAGAGATTATTAGAAATTGAACAAAATGACTTTTCTTCAGTGTTTGTGCCTGTTTGAACTAAAAGTTTATTTAACGTTTTTCTGTTTGCAATGAAACTTAGGTTGCTGAAAAATCTAAATAGAGTTATAATCATTGAAATGATAAGATTTTTTTAAAAAAATATATTTCTTGTTGAACCAACCACAGCCATTACAGAAATGATAGGATTTTAAAGCTGCTTGACACAGAGTAGTTTGTTTATCCTTTCTTTATTCTGAAAATGAAATCTGATTTTCCAAGATTACTTGATTTAATTTGTACACCAAAAATGGCAGATCAATGTCCAAAAGGCTGTTACCTTCCTATTATTGTTCCTATAAAAATAATTACCTAGAGTCCTCCTAAAATAGATCAATATGGCTCAGGTGGCCCAATGGGCACTGGTGATGATTGGAATTTAGGACTGTAGATGAATCTGGAACAGGCTATTTGTTCATGTCCTTGGCACATGCAACTTAAAAGCTAACTATGTTCAGAGTGTTATAGTTCTTCAATTAACTTGCTTTAGGTGTGGTGAATTTATAGTTTTTCCTGCAGTATACAATAAAGTATACTAACTTAGCCTCAGTTTCTCATACTTAGTATGTATAGTGTCAGAGTCTACATCTTTCTCTCTCTCTCCCTATCCAGATATATTTTTATATACTATCTATCTATCTACCTACCTATCTCCTACCTATCTTCTATTCATCCATCCATATTACCACTAATATAATACTAATGATGGCACTTACTATCAGAATCTAAAAGTGAAGTGTGTTTGAACAGACCTAGATATAATCTGCACTCTTTTAAAAATCATATAGAATTACAGATTTCCAGAGTCAAACATGATTTCTCTTATCTAACTTAGGGTTCCATAAATCAGTTTAAGTGTTCCATAAACAACTTGAAATCCTTTGCTAAGTTTTAGGTCTCTATATAATACTTTGGGGAGGAAAAAGGTTATAAATTTCATGAAATTCTCAAAAAAGGTATGTGAGGGGCTGGAGTTGTGGCTCAGTGGTAGAGCGTTTGCCTAGCAGGTGCGAGGCGCTGGGTTCGATCCTTAGCACCACATAAAAATAAATAAAATAAAGATATTTAAAAAAGATATGTGATCCCCCCCAAATATTAAAAGTTATGTTATTCAGTTCCTTTATTTTACACATGAGGAAGACAAGGAAAAACAAGAAAGAAAATTGTATTCTTAAGTATAATGCTAGTGTTGTGCTTGTTACTATGATCTATTAGTGAAGTGTGTTTTAAGAGAGCTAGATACAATCTATAATTCTTTCAGAGAATACAAAATTATAGATTATTAGAGCCCAAAACAATTTCTCTTATCTAATTTAGGGTTCTGGAGATGCACAGGGCCAGCAAATGGCTGTACCATTCTTACTAATTGGAGCTTCTTAATATTAACAGAGCTGCTTTGACTAGGTCCTGCTCACCTTTCCATCCCTGTGTTTTCCTTCACTTTGCCTCATATGTGATCATACTGTACTTTGAGTTTCCTAAATATACTTGAGGCCCTCTGAGTCTTTGTATCTACAGCTTGTGCTGCAGGAAACACTGGTGGCTCCTTTCTTCATCTGGCTTATTTCTACCAAAATTAAAGAACCACTTGTCACTGCAGCCAGAACTGGCTTTCTCAAATCAGAGGTTCTGGTGGTTTTGTTTGTAGCCCCTGTTCTAGGAGAAGGAGTCCTTACCAGGCCTCTTACCTCTAAACTCTAAGTTACAATTTCCATGTTTAGCCTGCCCTGGTTGACAGTGTGATTTGTGGGACTGAAGCAGTGATGGGGCCCTTCAGCATACACGTGGAAAAGGATCTGCCTTTCTGCATTGAGGCCACACACTGCTGCAAGCTCTCAAATTCAAATATTCCACCTCAGAAGGAATGTGTCCTAATCAGAATTCTAAAATTTTGGCCAATTGGGTTTGGCTTCTCTGTGGGGGTGTGGAGACATTAAAAGAACTACAGGCAGAATGATGAGAGTTAACTCTGATATTTCTTATTGCATATTTATTCAGACTAGCTGAGAAAGTTGTAGGGCATTGCCTGAGTCTTTAAAAAAATTCTAGCACATTAAAAATATTTCCCATATATATTTAATTTCCCAATTTAATAGGGATATTTCCTTTTACTTGTGACCCACATAGTTTCCTGGAAACAGTGGACCAGTGCCACCTCAGGGCATCTCTCAGCACCTGCTTCACCTTGTCATTGCGGAGGCTGAAGATAAATGGGTTCAGGAGAGGTGTGATGATACAATTCAGGACAGAGACACCTTTGTTGAGCAGCATGGACTGAGCCTCTGACAAACGGATGTAGAGAAAGATGGAACTGCCATAGAAGATGACCACCACTGTAAGGTGTGAGGCACAGGTGGAGAAGGCTTTTCTTTTCTCAGCAGCTGTGGGGGCCCTGAGGACAGTGGCAAGGATAAAGGCATAGGAAACTGAGGTCAAGGTCAGAGAGCCCAGTAACACCAATGAAGAGAGCAGGAAAGCCACCAGCTCCAGCAGGGAGGTGTCCCCACAAGAGAGCCTCAGCAAGGGCCAACTGTCACAGAAAAAGTGGTCGATCCTGTTGGGGCCACAGAAAGGGAGGCTGACCATGAGGATGGTGGGGCAAAGTACCCAGAGGAACCCAGTTAACCAGGAAGCCAGCACCAACTGGGAACAGACATAACCACTCATCAGAGTCTCATAGTGGAGAGGTCGGCAGATTGCCAAGTAGCGATCCAGAGACATGACTGCTAAGAGGAAGAAGTCGGTAGTGCCTAGGAGGAAGTAGAGATAGGACTGGATCATGCAGCTGGCAAATGAGATGGTGTGATCCCCTGTGAGGATGATGTCAAGCATCTTGGGAACCACAACAGATACCAGCAGCAGCTCCAGGAAGGATAGGTTCCTCAGGAAGAAGTACATCTGTGTGTGCAGGCGGTGGTCCATCCAGCTGAGCACTATGATTAGCAGGTTGCCTGTGACTGTTACAATGTATGTCACCATCAACCCCAGAAACAAAAGCATCTGCAGGATGTGGTTATTGGGAAAGCCCAGTAGGACAAATCCTGTTACCTGAGTCCAGTTTCCAGAGCTCATCTCCAGTCACCTGCTAGAGAAATGAAACACAACTTTATAAAATGGTTTATCGCTACCAATCATCATTTTATCAATCAATAAAATTATACAGAATATTTAATTCTGTCTTATATTCTGGTAATATGTTGATTCATATTTCTGTCTAAGTGGTTTACAAAAACAAACAAATTATGATAGCAGGCAGTTAGTAATAAATAACACAGATGGTATTGAACACCAGTTTTGTATTTGGAAATTTATGTGCAGTATCCCCTCTTAGCTACCCTTAACATTAGGTTTTATTATTCTCAAGTAAGAAAAGGATGCCTAAGGAAGTTTAAGTGACTCTTCAATGAGCAAAAAGGGAGCAGCGGTAAAGGCAGTTTCTTAGGCAGCCTCTGTGAGTCTAACACATTGCTATTTCCATTGTTTGACTTAAGCAGAGAACCACATTCCTAGATAGTATGTCCTTGGAGGAATCTGCTGGAATAGAGGGATCAGGGAAGAAGTTGCAGAGGAAATGTGCCATGAGAAAAGTTTTGCTTATACCAAGAACTGTTTCAGTATTTATGGCATTAATATGTCTTGGCATATCATAAAATAACATTTTAAAAATTTGGGCTTTTGTGTCCTTGGAGATTTTATCTTCATTAATCAACTGGGAAACCATATAGATTTGGACAGTACAAAGCTCTAATTCCATTAATAAGTGTTATTTTTCTCCACTCCCAGACTTTTGTAGGTTATAAGAAATCTCTCCTTCTGGTGTAAAATGTACTAATCTCAAATGCAACTCTTCTAACATTCAAGTAGCATAAAACAGAGAGAAAGCAGGAATGTTACCAAAAAAGATAGGATGTATCAACTTGCTCCTCAACTTTCTGCCTTACTTTGGAGATAAATTTATTTTGTCCTTGGAGTTTTGGGAGTCTTGTGAAATTTATCTACATATTTTGAAGGATTGGGTTTCACAAGACATCTTGGTTCCAAGATCCTTTTCTTACATGTTGCACTAAATACTCAGACTTGTATAATTCTTGCCTATCAATTAGGGAAAATGTTGTCAAATATTCTAGGAGAAAAAAATGAAAGTCATCATCAAATTACTATTTGTCAAGGAATGAAATATTGAGAGTTGTGACAAAATTTAATCCAGTATCATCTATTAGTACAGAATACTAATGTTAAAGATGAGAACCACACATTTTCTCATTGTGCCTAAAATCACTTTAACAGAGAATATTGATTGAGGTCAGGAATCCTTCTTCAATGATGAAGAGAGAGGACTAAGGCAAGTTCTCTCAGTATCAGTTTTGGCAGAAATAAGTCCTGGGACTTAAGTAGCTAGCTAATAATAAAACTTCATTTTGCTGGAGTCTGTATGTCTAAAATCAAAGAAATACCTTAATGACACTCCAAGAAGTTTGCTTGAGCTGTATTGTAGGGTAACAGTGTTACCGTGGCTATTTCCAAAGTATGGGATAAATATTATTAAAAGTAACTTATAAAGTCTAGCTGTCAGTATCATTTTCTGGTTATTATAAGATATATACACTAGAGTCTGAAATCCAGCATTCCTTTAAGAGTTTAACCCGAATAATCACAAGTTCCCAAAGACCTTCCTCAATTGACTTGCTGTATCTCATATAAATCTAGATAATAGCAATATCATCCCTGTACATACATGTTTAAATTTTGTCATTTTGAACCTCAAAATAATCTTGTTGATCAGGTTACTTAATAAGTAGGACAATTTACCAAACGTCCCACAATTATACGCTGTTTGTATTCTTGTTGGAAATGCATTCTTGTTTATATGCATTTTGCATTAAAAATACTTCTTGACAAAATGAGAATCAGTGAAGGGAATTAGAACTAATGGGGACACACACACATTTTTATTCAATCAACATGACTTACACAATTAGGTAGCTACTATTATTGTCTACAACTGAACAAGATGGAATATAGCAGTTTTAAGTAAAACACACACATACACACACACACACTCACACACACACACACACACACACACACACACACACACACACACAAAACAAACTCAGGTAGAACCAAATTTCTGACTCTGATTTCTGACTACAGCACAAACTTACAATCATAGTATGTATAACTATGAACCTTGAACCCACTGGGGAGCAGGTTGTGGATACTGATTTGGATATTGCATTCTTTCTTGGTTAAATCACTTAGCAACTACACAAGGCAGGCATTATTATTTTCTCCATTCTACAGACAAGGAGAAAGTACTCACATTAGTAAGTAGTGGAATTATTGATTACAATTTTATTCTGATTTCAGCGCCTGCACTTTTAACCTAAAACTATTGTCTTATATGAGAGTTATCTTATGTGAGTAATACAACTAACTGTGCAGTTGCCTCAGAGCAACAATAAAACAAATTTAATATCAGATTCTATTTGTTACCTTACTTCATTTGTCAGTTGATGATAGGAGTTTTTCACAGAGTAATTAATTGAGTAGTTTGAAGATTTGATCTTGAAAAAGAGAAAACATTTTCCAGATTTTCTTCCACTCTCAGAAGATGGATACCTTACCCTCATTAGATCATAGAAACTTGTTTGTCCTTGTCCTCTATGTTCTGTCACAGGCTACATAAATTATATTACATAGAAAGGGACAGCATTCTGTCTGGATACAAAGATGAAGGATCAACCATGATTTATTTATAATCACCAATTCTTTATAGATCTGGAATCACAGAAGTACCTGCCTATTTTAATAATCTCCAGTAAGTATTCCCTCATGGAATTTTGCTTCTTACCCTAATTCTGATGGATTATTAAAACCCTTCTAGAAGGTGGAGCTCTCCCAGCAGGGCTCACCCTAAACTTGTGCTTATCAGACCCTTTGTTGATCCCTTCATCCTTGGAGACCACTTACATTTGGACCTCTCTCTCTGGCTGAGTGATGTGTGCTAACCTTGTCATCTCTGAGTTAGTGTCTTTCTCATGTTAAAGCCGTCCTGTGCTATTTGTAAGATCATCACTTGGTTTTTGCTTTCTTCTCTTTAGATATACTCCTGGTGTCTTGAAGTTGGTATAAAATTAGCATCTTTTTTTTT